AACGAGATAGACAACGAGTACATCATTTTAATGATTACATTAACAATAATTATTATTGTTATTAAATGTGTGACAATTTATGGCAAAACTTCGCTTCACTTCACTATACAAATGCCATAATAATTATGTTGGTCTATAATTGTGAATTCACTCAATGCTATGTCTATTAATTGTTTAAAATGTTAAAAGTTTAATATTCTAATTTGATTTTTAATAAAAATGCTTAATTTTTCGTTAATTATTTTTTTCGTATCTATCTTTATAAAAATTATAAGTTCCGTGTTTTATCTTGTTTTGAGATTTAATTTATATCATGGTTACTATGTATACTGAATTATTGTACACATGTACTGCATAATTTGTTTAACGCTTAATTTAATTATTGACCTTTTTTATTTGTTATTTCAATGAAAGTTATTTTCATCGTAATATCTAGTTCATTTACAATATACAAATATTGTTTTAAATTTATTACTTATTAAATTTTGTATTATTTAAAATAATTATTACATTAATAACAAATAAGTTTTTATGAATTTTATAAAATAATAAATAATAATTTTAATGGAAGTTTTAACTAATTTTATATTATAAATCAAAATGAAGAACAAAATTAATAAATTATGTGAGATTTGTGGCCATAAAGCGAAAAGTAAGTGTTAATTAATATAAAGTTTACTGTTATATAAAATTTATTATTAAAATCATCTAATTATAAACATTTTAAATTAATTTTAGGCCTAAATTTTGGTGTCATATGTTGTGAGCCGTGTAAATCATTCTTCAGGAGAAATTTACACAAACCGAAGGTTTATATAAATTATTTTGACATTTTATAAACTAATTTTTAATACAATTTAATAGCCATTCATTTGTGTATTCAATGATAATTGCATTATAAGTGCGGATACAAGAAATGATTGCAAAAAGTGTCGTTTGAATAAATGCCTTTCTCTCGGAATGAAATGCAATGTAAATACAATTAATAATACTTATAATTACTAGCAATTAATAATTATTAATTTACATTGTTTTAATGTAGTACTAATTTATTATATTATATAACAATTATTATTGTAGTTTCAAAGCAATGAAAATGAGATACAAATAATTGAATGCAAAATAACTGAAAGGCAGAGCAATTCAGGCGAGAAAAGTGATGGTGAAAGTGAAGAAAGTTATAATGAATATACAGATTATGATAGTATTGTCCAACAAATTGACACAATTATAGTAAACGCCAATAAAGAGGGCTATAATTCAGCACTCATTCCGATATCTAAACCCCTCACCGATTATAACGGCTTAAGACAACTGGAGTTCAGACGTATATCGGAAGCGATCGGCGCCTCAAAGGCTTTCATTGAACCGATGGCTAAAAATATATACAAAGTGAGGGATAAAATTGAATTTCTTGCCATTAAATCGCAAATGAATGATAAATTGGCCAAAAATACCATCAAATATACAAAAGGTTTAAAGGGTTTCGCGGATCTCAGGCCTGAAGACCAGTACTCGTTGTTTAAATACGGATGCATTCAAATTATTTATATCAGACAACTCACACATTACAACCAAAATACACGCTATTTTATCATGAATATGGTAATTATTAAATGTTTAAATATTGAGTTTTTACCATATTTCATTGAAAATTATTGTTTAATTCATAGGACAACAAGAATTCAATTGTTTATACTTTAAAAACAATTAATAGTTTGCGCACCAGGGCTGATTCAGCTACAATGATGCTTGATAAGTTATTTAGTAATTTTCTGGACAATGTATGTCCCGAATGGCAATGGGATCTAATTGTATTAGATTTGGTAATTCATAATTATATCTAACTATCTAATTTATAAGTTTTATGTATTAATTTTATGCTAACATTAAACACAGTTAACGGCGATAATACTCTTTGATCCAAATCGACCCAATTTAATACATAGGGATATAATTAGGTATTTATTAAACAATTTGTAACATTTAATTAATTTTATTTAAATTGTTTGTTAGACTCGAACAACAACTGTATATATATTTACTGCAAAGATATCTACTATTAAAGTGCGGATCGGAATCGGAATCACAAACAAAATTACAGACATTTATGACTTCATTGAAAGACTTGGAAGCGATTCATGACATCCAGAGATGGGAGTTAACTAAAGACTGGGAATATGTCAGTCCACTCGTCAAAGAGATATTTGAATAGATATGCACAAAAAAGTATCATGGCACTAAATATTAATAAATTAAATTTTATAATTTATCACTCGATGAGGTGCATAGCATTAGTTGTCAATATTAAAATATTTGTACATTTATAGCCAAATCCTGTATTAAAAATAACTACTTTATCATTATAATGTATCTAAATTAAATTTCATAATACTGTAGTAAATTACATTTACAGATTAAAAATTAAAAAATATATTTTGTTAGCATTTAACATTTTGATAAAATACTACAGGTAAATTATATCTGTTTTCAAACTAGCTAAACACTAGTTATCTAGTTATTACACTAGTATGTTTTAACAGGATTTGAAACATGTTATATTTATAGTCTATATTAAACAAATTATCTCGAATATTTGTACAGTAAAATATTTTTATACCAAGATGAAATACGTGTTCAAGTGAATCATAGTGTAGCAGAATTGTAGAATTTACAGTGTAGATTAGATAGATTTCTATTGTTTAGTAGAATTATTTTACATGACATACATTAGACTATTATCATGCTTATAAATTGTAAGTACATTGAATAACATCAGCATTGACTCTATTATTGCAGATAAAAATCTATTTTTGTTGAGTAAACTTATCGATATTTATGAGTAAATGTTGTAATAGGTATCAGAAATATATATTAACTCAAATTAACAAAAATATTCTAATAACTTAATGTTTAGTGCTTAAAAATACTTATTAAATATATATTTTAATAAATAACATCAATGAGAATATTTAAAAATAGGTTATCATTTAATAAAGTAACCTAGCAACAAATTATTTAACCAGCTTATAAATATAAATTTTACCTTTATTGTTGTTGATACTTTAGTAATGTTTATAAGAGAATTCATTAGTAAAATTAATTGTATTAATATATCACTAAAATAAACTTGATAATTTGTAATTAAAACAAAATAGTAACATTTTCTGCTACAAAAATGTTTTAAATAATTAATACAATACTGCAATGAAAGACATTAATAACACCAAAGTCTGTGAAGTTTGCGGAGATAAGGCTTATTGTAAGTAATGTATTTCGTTTGATTATAAATAAATTATAAATTTTAATTAAATTTAAGGCCGAAATTATGGTGCAATTAGTTGTGCGTCTTGTAAGGCATTCTTCAGACGAAATTCATTTAAACATAAGGTTTGTGTAAATTGTTTGTAATTATTAAATATAATAAATTAATTACTTAAATAATTTATTAGAAATTCGTTTGCATTTTAAACGATGATTGCCTGTTAAGTATTGAAACAAGAAATAACTGCAAAAAATGTAGAATTGACAAATGTTTTCAAATAGGAATGAAAAAGGTAAATAATTTTAAATATAATTTCAATAGAAATTAGTTAAAATAATTATTATAATATCTATACAGGAAATAATCCGACAAAAGGAGAATAATGAAATAATAGAAAATCAATTTTCAAATCAAAAACATATTTCACAAATGAATAGTAGTTTGACATCACTTTCCGATGAAAGTCAAGACGATTTATGGGAACTGATCGATGATATCATTGATTGTAATACCGATAGCAGTGATGATGTCTTCGCACTACAAGTGATGGATATCAACACAACAGACACAGCATTACTCCCGATATCCAAACCCCTCACCGATTATAACGGCTTAAAACAACTGGAGTTGAGCCGTATATCGGAAGTGATCACTGCGTCCACTGTTTTCATGAGTTCATTGCCTAAAAATGTATATAATATTGAGAATATACGAGAATTACTTCCCCTGTTGTCTAAAGCGACAGAAAATAGTATACAAAATGTTATAAACTTTGCCACAAATATCACTGGTTTTGGGAATATGTGTCCCGAAGACCGGTATTATCTGTTTAAATACGGTTGCAATGAAATAACAAGCGTCAGATCTTTAGCCACATATAATATAAAAAATCAATGTTTCATGGTTAAATTGGTAATTATCACTATAAATGCAAACAATAAATAATATGACAAACTAAATACAAAAATAATGTACAGTGTAACATTATGATATTTATACATTATTTAATTAAATAGAATAATGACACAACACTTGTGGCCAATTATGAAACATATACCAAGATATGCAAAGATGATTGGTTCTTGTTACATTGGAAAATATTTACCAACTTCATACAAAAAATATTGCCTGAATGGCAATGGGATTTTACAATATTAAACTTGGTATACTATTTAATTGATTTTAAATTTATAGTTTATAAAATTATTAAAAATTATTAAAAATTGTATTAACAGTTATCAGCGATAGTTTTATTTAATCCAAACCGACCACATCTAATTCACAGAAATATTATACGGTTTGTATTATTGTTATAATTTGTTTAATTTTTATTTTAATTAATTTTTTTATAATTAAATTTAATTGTATGTTAGACTCGAACAACAACTGTATATATATCATAATGTTACACTGTACATTATTTTTGTATTTAGTTTGTCATATTATTTATTGTTTGCATTTATAGTGATAATTACCAATTTAACCATGAAACA